GCTTCTGAATATAATATGTGAATTCGGGACAATTTCATTGTCTATTGGCTACGCTAGATCAAAAATAAAAAAGTTTCCAAACTTTTGACCGCTACTGTATGTTGACGAGTAGTGCTTTGGATAAAAAGGAAATCTGACGAAGAAAACTTGAAGACATTCTCATCAGTAAATAATCGCTTCAGAAATCGGGAACTGCTGAAGAGATTAGCTGCAAGAGGCATTCTGTTGGCATTCAAACTCGTCCTCCCATATCATTCTGCTTGGAGAAAATGAAACGCTGAGAATAAGTCACGGTACCAATAATGAAGGTCGACCGGTGCACTATGGATAATTTCCAGTGCGCGAACAGATACAGTAGCGGTCAAAAGTGTTCGCCGAAACGTTTTTTCGTGCATCATTTTTTCTCACTCAAACAGTGCCCTTCAAGTATTAATAAGACATGCCTTTTGAAGCCTTCAAACCTTGACTATTGAAGAGTTTAGATATTTGAAAGAAAGGCTTCAAACTATCTTCAGATCTTTCTCTGGAGGGAAGAAATGAAATGCACGAGAAAGCGTTTCGGCGAACACTTTTGACCGCTACTGTATATGCAATAACTAACCGTATTTCACGGGAGATAATTCCGAAAATGTTCCACGGAATGTTGTCGGCAGCTCATCAGTAGAAGCAAAGAATTCTTCCCAATCCTTAGCATAGAAAATACAGACTGAAATTCCTACTATGCTGAAATATGTTGTATTGCAGCTATGTTCCCCTACCTGCACTTCGCTCAGTTCCAGTCAACCGACCATCACCAGCGGCAACGGGAAATGGATGACGTCGTCAAGGAATGTCGCGTCTTCCCGGGGAGCCTTTTTGGTTAGTTCCTCTTTTCTTTGAATCTGTTGAGGCACGTGATATCAAGACTAAGGGCATCACCTACAAACTACAGAGCGGAAACTCATTAGGATTATTCCGCCGAGTAATTTCACGGATTGTCGAAGTTAGTCCCGCAACCCTTCCAAGGGGAATGAGTGTTTGTTATCCTTCACCTGTACTACCTTTGAACACCGAAACGGATCATACCAACACGTCACCACAAATTTTTTGCATTTCTGTGACGTAAAACCATGTATGGGCTTTTCAATATTTCCTAGGAATTTTTCTGGGCACGTTGGCGATCGCGCGCTGCTTGACTTTTTCAGCTACTTACCGGCGCGATTTTGCCAGAGGCCCACTCCACCTAGTATATGTGAATATTTATTAGTAAGTGTTAGGAGAAACTCAACTCAACTGAATTGGGAAGAGATGGTGGGATTTCACCAGAAATGTTCCATAAAATTCTTGAGTTTTCTTGTTACACTACAGCACGGTTGGGTAGGGTAGGGTAGGTAGGGTATAGGTAAGAAAAGCAGCCGGGCCATATAAATCGACGGGAGTGTGACCCAAAGCACAAGATGGGTAGCGAATGATAAAGCTTCCTGCAAAACTCGTGCCAGCCCTCTTCGGGCGACAATACCATTGACGAAGGGTTGAGCGAGAGTACGTATTACTGTGAGATGGATGTATACAGTAGAAAATCTGTACAAAGTACAATCCACATTTCGTAGAGTTTGCCTACAAAAAAACCAAAAAATTATTGAGACAATGATGAAGGGACATGCAGCAAAAATTCCCGAAATCCGCGGTAAGCACGGTACAGCTCACTTTTCTCTAAACCTCTCACTCCATCTCTGGGCGCTTATGGGCACCTGGATGTGAAGAGGCAATATCTCTTTTTCCCTGAGACCAAATTCATTGAAATTTTAAGTAGTGAAACTAAACAACATCGCTTTATCTCTCAAATTAGAACCTACAAGGGCACTGGCACGCTCACATACTAGCTAATAGTTAAACATACAAAGAGGCTTCTACATTGCATCACATAATTATACTCCACCTAACGTTTTCTATCTACTTTTTACCTACCACATCATCGTCTAACATCCACTTCTACCAAGCCGAGCCCTGTCGTTGAATCTTCTTCAAGACTATTTAAGACTCCAAGTTCATTCGTGGTAAGCGGCGAAGCTATGAGGGTGCAATGAACCGTGAGCGAAATTGTCTTCTAGGTCATGAAGATTAAAAGCAGAACCGACTTAGCTACGGTCCGCTTGCTTGCAATGCACTAGTGTTTGTATTTTGGACCGTCTGTTTTTGCCTTCCTATTTTCTATTCCCTTCTCTTTGCAGAGCTTTACCAAAAGAAACAAAAAGGTGAAAAGGAAGACAGACACGTAATAACTTCGTATAGCATAAGGTGCCACTCAAGACGCTCATTGCTATCTCTTAAACCGATTTTCGCCGCGCTTTTGCCAAAATTGACTGACCTTCACTGCTCCCTCAAGAATCACTTGCGACTTGTTTTGTTTGTTAACTGCTGTTTTTGCCGCAGTTCGCGTTGCGAATGTTTCACAAGAATGCTGGGTTGTGAACAAAACTTTCGCCCCAGGCGGGACTAGAACCCGCACCTCTCGCTTTCCGGGCAAGTGCGCTACCAGTTACGCTAACGGGGCTAATTTGAAGATCTTATACCACTAAAAAATTAGTCTGTTAAGGTATAAAGCTTCAAAGAAATTCCATAGCAGAGCTTGGCCTGGTAGAAGTGGATGTTTCTCTTTTGACCCAGCTTCTGTTTCTATCGAAAAGCAAGGAAGGACCCCAGGAGCTTTTCTGAACTTCATATCATGTAAAATTTTCGAAAAGGTCTCGCGTGAGTTTGCCAAATCGCACGATTCGCTGGTTTCAGCCAGTTGTTTGCGACATCTTCCCTTTCTCAAAATCCAACAGCAGTCTTTATTTGCTATTCTTTTAAGAAGTGAAGTGTTACCACAATGAAAAAGTTTCGTGGAACAGAAGTGAAAAGTAATCGATAAACGTGAGGTGGACGTATAATTTTGGGACGTCGGCTGAGTGGCCTTTTACACAAAAATTATTAAAAAAAATTCCTGTGATCTAAGTGGCAAATTGGATGCTTCCAATAAGTTAGGGACCATCTAATATGGAAAAGAAGGGGATTCGAAGGACCAGGACTAGTATCAAGTGCAAAAACTCTTGTTCTCCTCACGACTTTCGTATGGCCAAATTGAAAAAATTGCTACAAAAGACCATTGGAACACTCATAAGGCTCGATGTCCGCCATGGACAAAATGCCACTTCAGTACATCACTGCGGACGTCTCAGTGAGAGAAGGTACCTCGTCACAGGGCAAAAATCCTGCAAAGAGGGATTTTTCGTGTTGATGTCTTCCAACAACTATTACCCAACAATCCTTAACCGAAGTCAACTGGACGGCCTGCACGATAAACTTGGAGGCAAGAGCAAACTAACACCCCAAGGAAGTCTGATTTCCTGAAGAAAGCATAACAAAAAACTTGTAGTGACTTTGACGCGTTCCACATGCGTCAAAGTCACTCCAAGCCACTGTGCGCGCCTTCACTCTTCATCTGAAGCCTTCATTTATACAGTAGTAAACAGATTTCAGACCAAATTACCCTCCCCTTCAAAAAGCGAGAAAGTGTCGGGTGCAGACCAAACACCACAACTGACGACGGCCTCCAAGTAAATCTGGTTAGTAGTGGTTCATAGTGATAGCTGATTTTTGGTAAATGATAGTTGTAATTAGTGACAACTGATAGAATACAACTGCAACAGGCTAATCATTTCATTGGCAGAAAACATTTGCATTTTGTGGAGGCCGTCGTCACTTGTGGTGTATGGTCTGCACCCGACACTTTCTCGCTTTTTGAAGGGGAGGGTAGCTTTGCCTTGTTACACTAATGGTCAACACTTCTTGAAGCTGATTTGTTTCATTAGGCTTACATTCGTTTTTAGTGATATAATTTTTTAGTTACCACAATTTTTCCCACCCTTTAGTATACTATATAGTCACTTCGAAGCTAGTAGCGCTAACACTTAGCGGCCACTCAGGCGTGTGATGATGTGCGGTCAAGACATGCGACCGACACGCATCGTTGAGCCCTCCCACAAAAACGCAATCGGGCGTAATAGCTCACTCAAAAATCATGTATAGCCTGTTGAAAGGTGCTCAGTTGGGGGGCTGAGCAATAGAATTGCGACTAGTTCAATTGAACTGATCCTATTGATTGCAACAGAAAAATCGGATATTGTGAACTCGATATCGGATTTATTTATAACCCAGTGTCACCGCTCATTCAGTTTCGAATTGATTGCTTTGAACTTCAGCAGCTGCATAGAAATAATTATAATTCATTTCGGGCGGAAGTGGTGTAGTGGCAAGTGGCACGCTTACCACGCGAGCGGTCCGGGGATCAAATCCTGGGTCGTGAGTCGCCCGGGCCAACCAAGCCTTCCATCCCTCCGGGGTCGGTTAATTGGTACCAGACTTGTCTGGGAGGATAAAAACACTGACGGCTGGCCCCGCAAGTCATTGTATAGGCCACATCGCATTCAAACGCCACTACGAATGTACAAATGGAAGTAGAATGCGTGCCGCATCCCAAAAAGGGATTGATCAACGGCAAATGCTTTATCCTTTTATCTTTATAATTTATTTCAAATCCTCGTGCATTTTTCCTGAACCCTCTAGAAACCTCTAGAGAGGTCAAAAATTGTACAGAATGCCACCACCGATGCATTTCCAGGAAACCTATTTTTGAGTATTTACATCCTTTCAAAGGGTTGTACCGTAAAATAAAACACCAATCGCTTATTGCAGGTTCTTACGAGGAGGTGTATTCGATCCAGAAGACGACCACATCTAATGATACAAGGCTTCCATCAAACAGACATGCTGGATACATCGTTATTGGCTTCAAGCTCCTCGACGATTCCTCCAAGGTGCTTTTCAAGACTGTTTTTTGTGATTTGTTCCTAAATAGGCAGAGACGCTCATGAATGTATCACCAATCCGTGGACCTAAAATGTCAAACTGTTAGATAAGCAGAAAAAATAAAAAAAATTTGCCCAATTGAGGTCAGCCTGGAGCTCTCCAAAGCAGTGCGAAAGTCGGTCAAGGAAATCCTTGACAGGCGGTGGG